GCTTCTACGCTCCTAAACCCTATAAACCCTATGCCGCCTATACCCTCAACCTACAGACATATTTAAACCGACCAAGTCATTCTTGGGAACGCCAGGTAGGCACAGCGGCATTCGCAGTGCACTCTGCCTGTGGTCGGGATGCTGTGCCTCAGCTTCACCATTGGTCAATGCATCTATGAGCTTGTTCTATGAACTTTCTAGGACTTGTTTGGGCCCCTGGGCTTGTAGGGCTACTGTTACTGAGGTCGGAGATGGACAATCAATTTTACTCCTAAACCCTATAAGCCCTATAAACCCACCAAACCCTGAACCCTAAACCCAGGTGTTACGGCGGCGAAGACTTTCGGGAAACCAGGATTGAGGCTCGTAGTGGTCAAGCAGCGCTAAGAGCAACCCAACCCGGGCTCCTTCGAAAGACCCGTAGGGTTTAGGGTTTAGGGTTTACAGTAGGATTTAGGGTTTTGGTTAAGGGCGTGGTGCTTAAAGGCCACGGCACAGAAACTGAATCCCCAAGCCATTCGCTACACCCGTCTTCCATAAAGCCCCACTTGCAACACTCAACCTGAAACTCCTAGCCACAAAAACCCTTATACCCAAAGCCTTTAGCAAAATCAGTACGTCTTCAACCCTTGTACCCTGACCCAAGACCTTAATTACCTTGAGCCCGTAAGCTCTAAACCCTAAACCCCAAACTTCAAGGCCCTTCACTTCCTCAGAGACATGGCGACTCTCTGGCGGCAGCGCTGTCGTGGGGAAAGGCTCCCCCTGGCAATGTTTTGAGGGGTTCCTTGGTTTAGGCTTTAGGATGTCGGGCTTATAGGGCTTACCCTAAACCTGAAGCCGTTTTCGGCTTGATAGGCTCTGGGTTTTTCCCGCGCCTTTTTTCCAAATCGGGATATTTTGGGAGGGGTTGAAGGGGGGAGTGCAGCCGAACAAGGGGTTTAGAGAGTCAGGTGTCGTCGAGTTTGTTGGGTATGGGGCTGAAGGACGGGGATGCACCCCAAGGTCCGTCAAGAAACTCTGCGCGAGTTTCATGACGAAGTCAAAAGCGATTTTCAGGATGTTTTGTGTCATGGTCCGAACATAAGGCTGCAAGTGTTCAAGCTAGCTCCGTTGGGGTCTACATCCATCTACAAGTCGATCTACTCTGGGTTGTTTGGAGCGCTGCAGTAAACCCTTTTTCGTGTAACCAAACATAGATCTCCGCTGAAAGCCGGCTTGGAGCTCCCTGAGTATAAGCCCTGCCCTCGGTCATCAAGGCACCATCAAAAAGGGACACCGGGTACTTTTTGTGGCGAATTCCGCTTCTATGCGGGTGCATAGCCTTTTCCAGGTTATTCTGGGTATAAACCTTTTGCGAAACCCGAGTATCCCTTGCTGGCTCTTGCATCAGGGGCTTTCAGGACACAAGGGGCCCCAATCAAGACCCTGAGCGGGAAGATCCAGTACCAGAACTCCAAGAAAGGACCCGCTCTGGAAGGGGGGTGGCTGCCACCGAGGTCACCTGAAGTTCGACTGGACAGAAGCCATCCTGGAGAGATCTTGAAGACAGGCACGCATGGTCTGGAGTTTAAGTCGATTCGCGGGGGATCCACAGTCTTTCTGTGGGGTGCAGCTGGTGTGCATGATTCTGTTCTATCATATTAACCTTTCGGTAGAATGATTTTCCTGCGTAGAATGTTTTAAAATATGTTGTGCAGTCTGTACAGTAGTATGCATCAGAATATGTATTATGTATGTGCTATTGTATGTTATGCATTATATTTTGTATATAGTGTTTGTATGTTGTACAAGTTACATATACGCACGAAGATCGATAGTTAGTTGGATACATAGAAAGTTAGATAGATAGGCAGATAGATAGACAGATAGACAGATAGATAGATAGATAGATAGATAGATAGACAGATCGACAGATAGATAGGTAGATAGATAAATAGGTAGATCGACAGATTGGCAGATAGATAGATCGATAGATCGATAGTTAGATACATAGAGAGATACATAGACACATAGATACAGACCTGGTATCTTTATGTTTGTATATACATATACATATATATATATATGTATATATATATATATATATATGTACAGGTATAAATAAATATCTAGTGCGAACATTATGTGCATTATCATCAGTATACTTACTCTTCTTGGTATTATTGTATAACTTAAGCGCGATCTAATTTGGGGTCAAAAGTATTGAAACAACCTCCGATATGTTTTAATGCAAGAACCCCCTATAAACCTAACCTAATTCTCCTTGCCCCTAAGGCCGCTAGAAAAGACTTCGAGTACTGTACACCCCCAATACCCTCATCCTTCAAGCCACTACAAGGATAAGACAACTATGGAAGCCGACTTCATAAGTATACGTTATGGATTATTCCTCTGGGGTTCCTTATTCTAATACAAAACGACCCCAAAAACCCTTATTCCAATTATTGAGGCTCCTACATTATCGGAAGCCTAAGTCCCCAGGGGAAGGACTCCTTGCTGCAAGCAAACCCGATGGGATTTCGACGGAATCGACCCTCGGCAGGTCCAAATTTCAGACAGCTTTGAAGGTTTTTGTGGGTTCTGGTTTGAGGCTCGGGGTTTTGGGCTAGGGGCGGATGAGGTTTGTGTGGTATTGAACAGGGGTTTGCAGATGGTTGCTGGGTAAAGACAATTCTTGCCGCACCACCAGCCCTGATCCATCCCAAAATCCCCTGATCAAGCCCATCAAACATGAAAACCCGCAAACCCTCAACCCCCAAACCCTCAACTCCTAAACCCTAAACCCTGAACCCTCAACTTCTAAACCCTAAACCAGAAGGCCTCCAAAAATCCCAGGTTCGTCGCCGAGCTCGCTTTGCGCCTCACGGGACGCTGCGACGGCCTTTTCCCGGCCTCACGACTGGACTTCCCGACATCAGGTCCGGCTTGGCCTAGGGAAGGGGAGATTCAGGGCCGAGGTGGATACATGGATATACATATGTGTATATATATATATATATGTATATGTATGTATGTATATATATATATATATGTGTATATACATATATATATATATGTGTGTGTGTGTGTTTATTTATATGTATCTTTACATGCATACAGACCTCTCTCTCTCTCTATACATATGTATATATATATATACATGTATACATACAAACACACACACACACATGCGTGTGTGTGTGTGTGTGTTTGTTTGTGATGCTGTGTGCGTGTCCATGCTTTACATGTCTACAATGCATGTGTGAAGGTGCTTCTGCAGCGTGTTATGAGTGTGTGTTGTGTGTGGGTGGGAGCAAACCTATTATAGATGAAAAACCGGTCAGCCAGGTGTGCTGCCAGTGGCATTGGGCAATGTGGAGCAGCTCGGTCCGCACTTTATGAGAACCGGATCTAGGATCGAACATTTGTAGCCTTGACTGAACCGCTCTGGCACAGACCGGGGAGCATCACAGGCTGCTTCTTTCAAGCAGCTCTTTCCTATCCTGCATCGATAGAGGTCAGAGGCGTGTAACCAGACTAGACCAGACCTTCATGCTGAAGCCATGTTGCTGAGGAATCCCTAAACCGCAGCTGGTAAAGACGGAGTCAGCGACAGGGCAAGACTCAAATTTTTCGGTGCAGTTTACGTACCGGAGGGCATCAACCACGAAGGATTACTTACCCGAAAATAGCATACATGACCTGATTTTCTAGCCCCACAGCTCCCAAACGCTCCCTTTGAAGACATGGCTTCGGGGGGATGTGACGTGCCAAGGTCGCTGTCTACACGGTGGCTGCAAGCCCAACTGGCCGGTCGGTTGGCGACTTGCCTTGCGCAGCATCTTCCGTAAACCGCTATGTTCACCAGGAGCTTTGCTTAACACACCCCTAAGCCCAAAGTTAAGACCCTAAGCCCCTCAAGCTTAAACCGAAGTCCGGAAGGTTGTAGCGCAACCAGCCGTCTGGAAATCTTAGCCGAAGCCCTGCGAAGCCGCCGGGCAGCGTTCTTGGATAACTCAGACCCCGGAATGAATCCCAAAAAGAGGTGATGCGTAGCCTAGGGCCGTTTTAGATTCGTTTCCGTCTCTTTGTCTAGCAAACGGTTTGGGAAGACGCCGGGCGTGTGTGTGTAAAGCAGGCTTTATGTTTGGGCTTGGTAACTTAACGTGGCTATGGGGTTCCATTTCTGTTCTGTGGATGCAAAAGCATTGACAGCTATTCTGAGGTGCAGAAAGAGTATATCTGTCTTTGACGCCTGGCAGCACACGTTCCCTCTTCGACGGCCCGGGCAGGAGAGAGGCGACAGCTCACCGTAAGTTCTTGGTACCCTCGCTTTTAATCGGCACGCGATCGGCAGCACTAGCCCCAACTATGCGACGTCCCCTTTACTGCACCTCCAATTGCATGTAGGTTCACGGCTCGCAAGCCCTAAGCACGAAACCAAAGTGCATGCTACACATCTATTACATCCCAAGACAACCGGACGGAGCACCTTCAAGAACAATTTTCCCGAACCTGGTCGGCAGGACTCTCACACGTGTGAAACTATTTGTACTTCGCAGGGGTCTTGCTAAAGAGCCCGCGCACGAGCCCGGACGATAGCATCTAATCTCGTTCAATGTCTAAGAGGAATCCTTGCACACAGCGGCTAGTCGCAGGCTCGTGATCGCCACAAACCTTCGCGTGGGGTTTAGATTCAGTCTTGTGAACATGCGTGTGGTTCTTGGGACGTGGTGACTGTGTTCCTACGAAATTGTCGGTGCTCATTCCCGCACGCGCGCATGCACTGTTTCATGTTTCTGCTGGCATGAGATCTGACAGTTGGCCCGAGCTCCTTGTAGCAGTTGTATGCATTTCTCTGCTTGAGATCTCTTCCCGACACAGGTTCCATATCGTGCTTTCCAGTTAGTAACCCTAAACCCTCAACCCTAAACTTAAAAACCCAAGACCTAAGCTTGTAAACCCGGAAACTAAACTTATTATCAACCCTAAACCTAAACCCTTTCCAGCAAGTCGAGGTGAAGGTTCCAGTCTCGGGCCAGCGGACACGGTGGGCGCGGTGGATGTGCCACTTCTCACTCTCGAGGTTGCGGCTTGGCAGATAAGGTTTGGGGTTTCGGGCCTTGCGCTTAGGGGTTTAATAAGGTGTAGTTCAGAATAAGCCCTGAAGTTTAGTTTAGATGCTGGGTTGGCGTACGTTTTTTAGGATTTTGGCGCTTTGCGGCCTGTCCTCGCCTCCTGGCATGTATAGACTCATGGATGAAGCTTTGGAGGGGGTGTCAGGATTCGAGATTCGGTGGTTCGCATGTAATGTTGAGTGCCTGCGACGAGCTCTTGTTTACATTTCCCTTTGCGTTTGCACTTTCTTGGCCCGCTGTAGTGCATCCCCGGCACTCGTTTGCCTTGGCATGTGAATGCCATGGCAAATTAAAAGCACGAATCTGCCGCCAAGTATAGAAAGAGGAATGGTAAGTACTTGGAATTCTCCCTTTCTTGGCCCGATGTAAGTATAGCATGATATACCCCAGCACGCTATTCTATTTATCAGGGGCCCTAAAGCCTGAAACCCCGAGAATCCGAATAGAACCCTCTACAGAACTGTCGTTTAAGGAGCCCTTCTCTAAGGATTAAGACCACTATACCCTAAACATCCCTAAAGTCCCCCTACACCCCCCAAACCCTCCTTCTAAAATTGGGTACAGAACTCCTCTTAAGGAGCCCTACCCTAAGCATGAAGGCCCTTGTTTTGCACCTCCCAGGCCCAACCCACGTGAAAGTCACATCAAGCGAAACTCAAACATGGCCTCAGGCCCTTTTAAGGATTTTTAAGGCTTATAGGGTTTGTAGGGTCCTTAAGGGTGTAAGGGTTTATCGGGTGTGTTTTTTTATAGGGTTTGGAGATTTTCTAAGGGCTTAAAGGTTTTTAGGGTGTAGGGTTTATATGGTTTTGGAGTTTTTTAAGGGTTGAGGCAAAAGGGTGTCCAAGCTGCACAAAAACCGTGCAAAAAGCCGACGGTATCTAACAGAGACTCCACGTGCCCCATACATCCAAGAAGCTCTGCAGAGGCCTCCAAGAACGGTTTAGGGTTTAGGCAAAAAAACAAACATTTTTCCCGAGCCTAAAGTTGGACGAAGCCTACTGATCATAATCCCTAAACCCCAAAACCCTAAACCCTGAAACCCTGAACCCTATACCCAGGAGCCCGAACATCCTGAACTCCCTGGAACCTTGAAAACGACATTAAGAGCTCTTAAGCCACTCCGTCTAGCAAGAAAACAAAACATCGCAAAACCCTAAACCCTAAACCCTATAAAGCAACAGCTAAGCTAGAGGACGGGTTGACAAGTCGCAGCGAAGTCAACTTGGACCTTGGCAGAGAGGCAAGGACTGAGTACAAGGCGCGGGCGCGGGCAGCGACTTGAAACTACCGCAGGCTTACCCTAAGACTCCAAGTATGCAACTACTACCTACTTTGGGGTCTAAAGTCTATAGCTACTACCTACTTTGGGCTATTTGGAGTCTTAGGGTTAGGGTTGAGGGTAAAGCACGGTTTGGGATTTAGGGTTTGTTCAGGGCTTAGCGTTTGGGGTCAGCAGAGCCTGGGTTCAAAAAAAGGTTTAGGGTCAGCTTCGGTTTCGGTGTCGGCGCTAGTGTGTCGGCTTAAGTCAAGAGGATCGCAGATCGTGGTCTGGCTAGAGTTGCAGGATTCGGGGTTTAGGGCTTCAGGTTTAGGGTTTCGGGTTTTCAGGTTTAGGGTTTAGGGTTTAGGGTGTTTAGGGGAGGGTGCAACATGGAGCGACGGCGTCTTTTAGCCTACGACATGGTTGCAGGACTTAGGGGTTTTTAGTCAGGAATGCATGAGGAGTATAAAGCGTTCAAGGGCTCGTGGGCGCATTAGAGTTCTGGGCATGTGCCGGGACAAGATTTATAGATTATGGCTATCCGACTCTTTGAGACTAGTTTGTTTTGTGTGTTATCCTGAAGATTTAAAAATCGAAACCCTAAACCCCGAACCCTGTTAGTGTTGGGTAGCTACAGGGGCTTCATAGGCTTCCCAGGTTTCCTGGCTGTGGTTGCCAGAGGGTACAGGATGTGGCAAGGGCTTTGGCGTGGGAGCTGGTGTCCTTAGACAAGAGCTTGCACGTTCAAAGGCCCCTTGCGCGAGATGATATGCAGGTAACCCCGTCCGCCATGGAATATTAAACACCCCCCCTAACAATAAGAACACTTTGGGGCCAATCCTCCCGAAATCATCCCTACCCTTTAAAACCTAATTTGCATCAGGGGGTCCGGAGCAAGAGCAGGAGCAAGAGCAAAAGCAAGCGCAGGAGTAAGAGCAAGAACAAAAGCAAGAGGGTCAGCAGAAACAGTAGAAAGAGCAAAAGCAAACGCATAGGGAAGCAAGAGCTGAGGCAGGAGCAATAGCAAGACTCCCCAAAAGTGACAGTAGAGATCAACATGCCCCTAGAATTAACACTAAAAACACGATCCGAGTTTTCATTGGGGGAGGGCCCCCCCGTTTAATATTAGGGGGAAGGGATGACATACATGAGAAAATACAAACAAAAGCATGAACAAAGAAAGAAGTAAATGGATGTGTGTATACATACATATATATATATATATCTACGTACTCGTCATGCATATATCACTGCCCTGAACCCTGAAACAAGGGTCTCGGAGTTTGGTGCGCGAGGGTTTGGTGATGGACCGGCTGCCTCAGCAATTTAGCATACAGGATCTGATTTGAGGCTGCTCCAACGGGTTTGAAGGTTTTGTGATGTGAAATTCGCCGTAGAAATAACAACCGCTTCTTGTAACCCTGGACCCCAAGTACACGAGAACTTTTTGCACTATTGTGACCACACCCACCCCCGACCCCAACCAAAATGTAACAGCAATAAACAATGAAAACAACAACAGTAGAGTGAAAC